CCCATTTTTTTGGGCCAAAATTCCCATTTTTTGTGTTATTTCCATCCAATTTTTCCACTTTTCCCATCCAAACCATCCACAATTTTTTTTTCCCAAATTTCCCAATTTTTCCTCCTCAATTTTCCCGTTTTTTCCCCATTTTTTAGGACGAGCAACTTCTGGAAGATTCCAAAACTTTGGGCGACTGCGGCTTCACGAGTCAAACGGCCCGACCCCAGGCCCCGGCTACTGTGGGGCTGGCACTCAGCAATGGAGGTAAAAATTGGGAATTTTGGGAAAATTTGGGAATTTTTGGGAATTTTCGGGAATTTTTAGGAATTTTTTTGCATTTTTTTGGCGTTTTTTTTGTGTTTTTAAGGCATTTTTTGGTGATTTTCGGGCATTTTTTTGTGAATTTTTGGAGCATTTTTTGTGAAATTTTGGAATTTTTAGGGATTTTTCAGGAAAACTTGGGAATTTTGGAGAATTTGGGACTTTTTGGAATTTTTTCGGAGATTTTTTAGGATTTTTTGGGGATTTTTTTGAGGATTTTCAGGAATCTCAATGCGACCCCAGGCCCCGGCCACCGTGGGGCTGGCACTGAGCAATGGAGGGAAAAATTGGGATGAAATCCTGGAATTTTGGGAAAATTCGGGAATTTTGGGAAAATTTGGGAATTTTTGGGCTTTTTTTGGGCGTTTTTTGGATGTTTTTAAGGCATTTTTTGGTGATTTTTGGGGGATTTTCGGGGATTTTTTGTGAAACTTTTAAGGATATTTTGGGAAATTTTGGAAATTTTGAGGATATTGGGGTTTTTTAGGAAAATTTGGGAATTTTGGAGGATTTTTAGGGATTTTTTGGAAATTTTGGGGAATTTTTGGCGATTTTTTTGAGGATTTTCAGGAATCTCTATGCGACCCCAGGTCCCGGCCAGGGCTGGCACTCAGCAATGGAGGTAAAATCTGGGAATTTTGGGAAAATTTGGGAAAAATTTGGGAGAATTTAGGAATTTCGGTGATTTTTTAGGAATTTTTTGGCGTTTTTTTGGTGTTTTTAAGGCATTTTTTGGCGATTTTCGGGCATTTAAAAAAATTTTTTAATATTTTTTTGGGAGCTTTTGGTGATATTTGGGAATTTTTGAGGATTTTAGGGATTTCTGAGAAAATTTAGGAATTTTTGAGAATTTTGGGATTTTTTAGGATTTTTTGGGGGATTTTTTGCGGGTTTTTTCCGATTATTTTCCCATTTTTTTCCCCGTTTTTCCCCATTTTTTCGCCATTTTTTTTCCGATTTTTTCCCCGTTTTTTCCCCCAAATCCCAAATTTTCCCCTTTTTCCCCATTTTCCTCATCTGCCATCCCATAATTCCCATTTTTTTCCAGAAGATTCCTTCGAGGGGTTGAGGATCGAGCCGTTCTCGTCGCCCCCGGAGCTCCCGGATGTGATGAAACCTCAGGACTCGACCGGAGCCGCCACCGACCCCCCCCTGCCCTGAAATTTGGGACAAAAATCACAAAATTCGGGAAAATTCCTGAAATTCCCAAAATTTTCCAGAATTTTCTGGGATTTTTTGGGATTTTCTGCGATTTTTTGGGAATTTTTTGGGGAATTTTTGGGGTTTTGGGGGGTAAAAAAACGAAAATAAAAATAAAAATTCTTGTGGGGGAGAGGATTTTTTTTGGGATTTTTGGCCATTTTTGGGATTTTCCAGAATTTTCCACAATTTTCCACAATTTTCCAGAATTTTCGAGGATTTTCTGGGAATTTCAGTGATTTTTGGGGGGAATTTTCGGAGAATTTTTGGGGTTTTTGGGGGTCAAAAAAACCAAAAATGAAAATATTTGTGTTGGAGTGGATTTTTTGGGAAAAATTTGGACAATTTCTGGAATTTTCCCGTATTTTCCAGGATTTTCTGCAATTTTTCGGGGAATTTTTGGGGTTTTGGGGGTGTTTGGGGGAAAAAAAACAAAATAAAAATGAAAAATTCCGGATGATTTCGGGTGTTGGATTTTTTTGGGAAAACTTGAGAATTTTTGGGAATATTCTGTGGTTTTTTGGGGATTTTTTTCCTTTTAATTTTATGGGATTTTTGAGAATTTTTGGGAATTTTTTTTGTGATTTTTCGGGAATTTTTTGGGGTTTTATTTTATTGGGGTTTTGGGAATATTTTTTTGGTTTTTGGGAATTTTTTTGGGAATTTTTTCGGGGCAAATTCTTCACTTTTTGGGGTCTCCCCTCCCCCACCCCCAATGGAACCTCCCAAACCCCTCCCCCCTTTAACCCCTCCCCCTTTTTAGCCCCTCCCCTTTAAACCCCGCCCCCTCCCCAAGCCCCGCCCCCAATAAATCACAGACCACGCCCATTTTTTTTCAATTCTTTGTTTTAATGTAAAACAGAACAAAAAAAGGGGGCGGGGCTTGGGAAGAAAAGGGGCGGGGCTTTGAGGGAAAGGGGGAGGAGCTTGGAGGGAAAAGGGGCGGGGTTTAGGGAATAAAAGGGGGCGGGGCTTTGAGGGAAAAAGGGGAGGAGTTTGGAGGGGAAAAGGGGCGGGGTTTGGGGAGAAAATGGGCGGAGCTTGGAGGGAAAAGGGGCGGGGTTAAAAGGAAAAGGGGGCGGGGTTTGATGATAAAATGGGCGGGGCTTACAGAACAAAGGGGCGTGGTTTAGGGGACAAAAGGGGCGTGGCTTAAAGGAAAATGGGGTGGGGTTTAGAGACCAAATGGGCGGGGCTTGAGGAATAAAAGGGGCGTGGCTTAGGAATAAAGGGCGTGGTTTGGGATA